CTAATGTGACAAAACTTGCACATGAATAAATTTGGAAGCGTTTGATAAATTTGAAATACCGATTAAAGTCTACTAAAGTTTATAATTAGTTTCGCTATTTTAGCTTTTAGTTTATTAAAAGAAAACAGCAACGAAAAAATTAAAAGGAAGATAGTAAAAGATCACAGTAATCAACTTGTTGTACTTTACAGATTTATATCACATTATCGACTGAATAAAGACGCATTTGGGTGTTAATTCACGTTTATTACGTTTTGTAAATACTCTTAAAATATCTGGATTTTTTTCATAAACTCAATAATTATGACATTTTGTGTTTTATTCTTATGCTTTCCTCTATAGAATTAGCCATAAATTAAAACGTAACAATAATATAAATTATTTTCTTAACTTACATTGCAAATCTGTCCGCGAATATCCTTTTGTTTCATTTCTGATAACAAAACCGATCAAATAGGTTTCCGTGACACCCTAAACCGATACAATTTCTGTTTCGTACGTCAAACCAATAATATCTGAATTCATGACACCTATTTTATATTTATTCAGCTATAATTAGCTGTTTTATGTTATGCTTTTCAGTTTCTGAACTTGCCATACATTTAATCTACATTACTTTTAAGCTTAGTGTGCATATCTTTTTTTCTTCAATAACTACGCTTGTGTAAAAACACATTATATTATATGTGTGATTTGATAAAATAAACATTAATACTTTTACTTAAAAAATTCTTATTTTTCACAAATTTTAAAAGGTATTAAAGATAAGGAACCAATCACCTCATTTTGCATACGATCAATGTCTTTTTTACACGACTTTTTGTGGATCCACCAATCTTCCGCGTAAAAACAGAATTAGGTGTAGTTCTCCATACAATTACCTATCACTTTATTGATCCGATCAAAAATCGAATTTTGGCAAGAATTTGGTTTTTTTAAAACGCCGCCATTTTGTAAATTTTAATTTTTTTCGAGGTACGTAGGTACGGAGAATATCTGCTAGTAGAGAATTCTTTTATAGGTTTCACAGAGAAAGTCGGAATCACTATAGTAGCCGTTTTTTTAGCGCCGTTGGTGATCGCATGTAACAAGAAAAATATTGCAATTTTTACTTCAAAAATTCTAATGTTTGTATATACTTAAAAAATGTATAAATATACACCTAAATTTGAAAACAATTGCTACAGTTTATTTTTTAATTCAAACAAGACAAAACGTTAACTCTACATAAATATAAAGATTCCTACTTACACTACACAAATATAAAGATTCCTTACAAGAACTGTGATCGGTCAGTTCGCATGGCAGCTATATGCCATAGTGACTCGTTTTGAACAATTTTTACGGAGTTTGCACCATTGCCTCAGGCAATAAGCCATGCCAAATTTTGTGCAGATATCTCGGCAAATTTCGTCAAAGTGGCCGTTTCAACAAATAATCAGATTCTTGATGACAAAAGGATCGGTGCAAAAGATCGATAACTCAAAAACTGAGGGCCAGACAATGGACATGGCTAAATCGATTCAGCTCGACACGCTGATCATATATTATATTATATTAAGTGTCGCCCTCGTTTCCTTTTGGGTATTACAAACATCGTGGCAAACTGTTCAGGATATAAAAATCGCCCTTTTTAGGCTCTCATACTCGTTGTGCCCCTTATCGCCTCAATTATAAATCAAATAGTACTTATACTTACATAAGTGTAGTAAGTATATTTTTCGTATTATTAAATTCATGTTTTCAAAGTTAAAATTCTTCAAAAAATTTTGATTAAAAAAAATATTAGTACTGAATCAGAAATCAGTATTTTTTTTTTGAAATTTTTGAGTTATCGTACTTAAACATATATACATATGTATATATATTTTAGTACTTTCAAGTGTTTCTATTTGCTATCTCAAATCAAGTACTGTTAAACTACTAACCACAAATACCGCAATTCTCAAAACTCAACAATTTAATAAAATGAAAAATTTAAATTATTAATATTTAAGGAATTTTTAAAAACTTTATTAAGGCCATTGACTCCACGCAGTTAAAAAATAACATGTTCTTAACTGCCACAAGGTCATAAAAAGTCGTATATATACATATGTGTATATGGGTTGTATATAGTTGGCAGAGGAAAATTTTGAAATTCCATTATCGAAGCTTGTTAATTATTATACGCCAAATTTTGAAATTTACAGCAAAAAAATTCGTTTCAAGAATTTAAATTTATTTAATTTCACTTAGGTTAGTCGTGTTCATAAAGCGGAGCATATATGTATGTACTCGTATGTACATACATGTTTGTAGATATATATTTGCAGTTAAAATGTAGGCGAGCTTCTGGTTTTGCTAAAACACAGAGTCTGAATGTAACTAACTAAACATGAGTCATCCTTCTAAATCTCTTATTGTCTCTTTTACCAGAAGATAACAATACTCAACGGCAACTAAGTTAAACTATCTAGGTTTTGTAGCAAAATTACGTTATGTTGAAAAAAAAAGAAAACAAGTAGACGCACTTATATCGAAGTATTATGACCATTGCTTAAAGTCTTACTTGGACCCTATTCTTTAGAGATGTCTGCTGATGATGTTCGCTCACTACTATTCTGTTGCTTTCGATAGATCGATATGTCGATCAAACAGCTTAACACTGTGGTTGTGGGAGAAGTGAGTCCTACATCTTGGCTCTATGTGTGAAACATTAGCAATGCATTAGTTTACAGCCACAGCAAACAAAGTGTTATCTGGGTCATTCCATGTCAAATCGACCAATAGTTAGACGCGACCCCCATCGATTCGAATGAATTTTGGTGTAAAGTTTTGTCTTATCATAAAACGAAGTTCTGCCAAAGGAAAAATTTTTGAAAATATTTTCCTAAGAGCTATGCGAAATTGAAAATTTCACTCTTTCTCCGATTTTATGAGTATATTTATTTAATATTCCAGAAATTACTGTATATTAAACAAAGAACGCTGGTGAATTTTCAGAGGACACTTAGAGGTATGGGAAAAAATTGATCTGAAACAAAATTTTGAAAATTACCAAAATTCCAAAATTTTTAATTTTTCAAATCGTATAAAGTAAGCATTGCGGGAAAAATGTAGGCCCAAATTTTTTTATATTATACGTCTAATACATCTAAAGAAATTCTGAAATTTTCAGAGGTGTGTTTTTTTCCGCTTCAAAGATATGAATTTTTGAAAGTTGGCAAAATATTTTTTGTTTGCTTATTTCTTCAACTTTTTTTGATGAAAATCATTCTATCACATGTTAATCGAAATTTCAGGTCCAGAATATTTTTGTTATGTAATTGTTTTTTTGTGTTTTTTTATTATTTTTATATTTACATCCCATTAACATAAGAAAAATATTTTAGATTATTAAAAGTCCACGGCAAGGCTATAATCACCAAACAAATTGTTTAGCACACACTACTATCGCATAAAGCTGGCATTCTAACTGAACAAAATCAAGCTAAAGAAATTCATCAAGCATGTTTTTTCGTTATTAAGCAACCTTATTTCGACTTGAAGGTTGTTTATATTAAACGACGTGGCTAGTAAGAACTAGGAAAAGACTGTTAGGAGCCAACTAAAATTCGAAATGGACTCAAGACTTGCTTATATATAATATAAATATATAAGTATATATTATATAAAGTGTATAAAGTCTGATATGAGTAAAATTAAGTTATTAAAATGTCATTTTGAACTCATTCATGCCTAAAAATGCTAAGTATATGGTTTACATAAAATAAATACGCCTCTAAAAGAATTCAGTGAAATATATTCTCCGCCCATTTTCAATATGAGAGGCTTAATCGAATTTATATATATATAAATATAGTTTTATGTATATCAAATTCATAAATATTAGTTTTCTTCGTGAGAAGTATCCCAAAAATGCAGACAGCTTACATAGTGCTCCGCCTAATTACCAACAATTGCAACAACATTTTCGGCCAACTGTTGCACGAGCCTTCTGGTCGTTGCGTGAATTTCCTAAGTGCATTAATTGCCAGTTTCGGCCGAGAATTAGCGAGCGATCGCGATGCAGCGCTCACCTCTTGCATGCACTTGCTACATTTGCAACACGCTACTTGCTGCTGGCCAGCCGTTGAATGGAATGAAGATGACATGTTGCAATCGCAGTGCAACAACAATGCCAACGTGCACACTTTAAAATCGATTATTGATGGCAAAAATTTGTGTTGCGTGTCAAATGTTGCAAAAATGTACTGCTATACAGCAATTTCGAATGCAGAACGACGACGCACAGCCCAAACGATCGCACGATCGTCAAGTGCAGCAACATAATGTCATAGGCTGACTGCATGAATGACTGGTTGCAGCTAAGCGCATGGACACGTGATGGATGGGAGATGACAGTTGGTGCAGTTTTTGAACTCCGACACGCTCACATTTGTTGCTGCAGAATTACACCTCGACGCTCGTATGCAATTTGGACGATACGAAATTGGAAATATTTATAAGAGTTGCGAGCGGGCCAAACAGACTTGCAAGGAGCAGCGCAAGTGGAGAACTTATGTATATATTTATCATATATTGTATATAATGCGTTCAATAGGTGCCTGACCACCTCGGGCGAACCGACATAATGTGACGACTTCTGTGAGTGAACCTCATTGAGTTTGTGCAGCTTAACGCATACATATACATATACATACATACATACTATGTAATTTGTGCAAGTGCCTTCTGGTTCACGCCCGCTTGTGCAGTTAGCATTCGCTTTATTTGTGGCTATTTATTTGTCTCACTTAAGGTGACGCAAAATGCGTTCTTGCATGGGAGCAAAACCAAACAAAAGTTGTTGTAAAAGTAACAACCCATAAAGCCGAAAATACTTTGACGGAAGTTAAACGCTGCCACAGTGGCTCATTATTGACTGTTGTTGCTTCTGATTTTCACAAATTTTTGTTGTTTTTTTCTCACTCATCTTTTTAAATATATTCATTCTTTATTTGCTGTCAATCACTCACCTCGTCCGCTGCGTCCCACAAAGCGCAGATCATTAAACTTGGCCACATGCTCCTTCATCGTCGCCTGGCAGTTCTTCAGCTCTGCACTGCAATTCTCATCGTTGCCGGCCCGTATCGTCACTGTCGTGCCGTCGCCGACCTCCACAAGTGCCACCACTTTGAAGGAGTTGGGTAGCGTTTTGTTGGCACGCCAATGTGGTGGCAGCTTGGAGCATAAGAAATATGGATTGCTGGTGCGTACTGAAAGATTAAACGATATTTTGTTGTTGTTAGTTGTTGTTGTATTAATTAAAGTGGTTGATTAATTAATTATATGCAATTTCCATTAATATGATTTAATTATAGTTCGGTTGCTTGGCATGTTGTTGACAAGCATTGTCCGAGACAACATTATTAAGTGTAAAGCATCGATGGTGACAATATCGTTTGCTTGCTGCAAGACCATCATTACTCGAGTAGAGCGATTTTTGAGTTATTATGCAGGAATGATCATTACATAAAGCTTTATATTGTATCAAAGTTTCATGTTTCTATACCCAACAGTTTCTTAGTGAAGAATGTATTGTACTTACCTATATGACCGATATGTGTATTATTTGTAGAGGTGTGCCAGTGCGAAACTCGAAAATGTTAAAGCAATTTTTCGAAATGGCAAATTTTGTGTTATGAAGGTCTTGCGTAAGCAAACGATATCGCATTTTCTTTGCCTTAATTAAAAAATTAAACAAACATTACTTGTTCACTACTTTTTTATTTATGGGTTTAGTTGGAGAAATAAATATTATCTTTAATAATTCATGGCTTCTGCTTAGTTCGTAAAATATTTTGTGAACTTTTTAAAAACATTGAAATTTTTAAGAAGCCCTTAGTATCGGTTTCTCTGCTTAATCAAGAGAACCTTCTTATACTTCCGATTTAGGACAAATATACACAATTTTGAAGGTAATGTCATAGAAACACTCATCCCTATTGGCATATACCGAAATAATCGATTTTCATTAACATCTTGTTCACAAGCAAAAATAATTCGCCATAGCCAGGTCCAGACTATAAGCAAGGTCCCGGCACTTCTGGCGAGTCACTATCAATATGTCTGGCTTTGTGTTATCCTGATGGCACACAATCCCTCTCAAAGTATTTGATCGAACCGGAATCAACAAAATCCAAAGTGCGCACAATTGCCTTTTACATTATCAGGACCATAAACACTATACATATTTTAGCTACCTGACTGGCATTTTCGCCTTTATCGAAGAAAATATGTAAAATCTGTGATATTTTCTCTTTACTGGTGTCCATCTTTGACGCGTACTCTCACAATAATGAGTCCAGCAATCATAAAACTGTCTGAGAAGTTTTTTAGTAAGAAATCTATCTTTCTAACGCCATATTGCGTAACACGATTAAACTTATACACCACGGGATAGAGATCACTAAAGCCATATATTGGAAAAATAAGGGAATTTTTTTCACGAGGCCTTATACGTATGTAAAAGTATAAGTAGTATAAAAACTTAGAATACCCATCACAAATACAAAGGTTCCTTTCAAGAACTTGATTCCGATCGTTCAATTTGTATGGCAGCTATATATTATAGTGGTCCGATAACGGCGGTTCTAACAAATTAGCAGCTTTTTAGTAAGAAAAGGGCAGGTGCAAATTTCAAATCGATAGCTTAAAAACTGAGGGACTAGTTCGTACATATACAGGCAGACGGACAGACAGACCGTTCAGGGTATAATTAAGTATGTAAACATGGTTATGACGAAGACTTCGTTGATTAGATTATTAGATTGGTATTCATATCAGTGCTTGTTAATTCTATTGACTAAGGTTTTAATCTTTAAATTGTTTTTATAAACGATAATTCATAAACCTATTCGTAAGTGACTTGATAAACTTGTTTTTACTTTTTTACATCGCGTTTAGTTTTTTGATAGCGATTTAATGTGAATTAGTTTTACGAAAAGCGCCAATTCAAGCTTTCTTCAAATTTTGGTTTTATATAATTTTTTTTATTTAGTGGAAAACGCAGAAGAAACGTAATGTGATACACACAACTTGATTCTGATGAAGCAGATTCTAACAGGTTACCGGAAATTAGTCAATAGTTATTCAACAGTTATCGAAATTCCAACTGACGAACTAGGCAACTGGCAAGTTTTTGACAATGTTTTATCTGTATATAATCTGTAATCGTAACACTGCATGCATGTATGTGTGTGTGATTTTTTTAATTTTTTAATACAACACGCGTATTCTTCATATCCATTACATTGGCATCAATAAAATTATACTATATATTATATTTGGCACTCAATTTCTCAAGTATCAATGCATTTTTCGAATAAAAATGAAATATTCTGAAACTTACTATCGAAAAAAGTCTTAGCCAAACAAAAAATGCGAAATCGTTCAACTTTTTTAGCACATAGTATTTACTCGAAAGACGTATCAATATCAGGCGAATCGAATTGCATGGAAAATGAAGCCTTATGTACCAAATTTATGGTATATACATACTTATATGTATGCAAGTGCCTGTGGGTACTAGCTTTACGCTATATGCATAGGTATGTAGGCATAATAATTATAAATATGAACACTGATTTTTGTGGCATGCCTTTTGACACGAGACTTCTAAATATCAAAACATATTTTTTATTGCGTAAAGTAATTTATAACCGTTATTTTTTAAGGAACTCGAAGCGTATGCGGATATACCACTACTACTACTTTTATATGAAAAAAAATGAAATTCACTAGCTTTTTATCTTCAACTCAAAAAAATTACAAAATACATTTTTACAAAGATCCATTTATAAGAGTATAAACATATGGAAGCACAACTACAATACATAATTTCGGCTGCACCGAAGCTTATAAATCATCTTTATCTTGATTTTGATCGAACAGTTTGTATGGCAACTATATTCTATAGCTTTCTGATGTCGGTGGTTCCAACAAATGAGTAGCTTCTTGGGAAGAAAAGGTCGTGTGCATAATTTCAGATCGATATCTCAATAATTGGGTCTTTCGGAAGACCTTCCATATGCAGGTGAAAAACGAGCGAGGGCCTGCAAACTTATTTAAGCAGTAACAGAGAGTGTGGAGATAAATTGAGGAAAGACGCTAGAAGCGCCAGCTAGATATTTCACAGATTTGTTCCAATACTTTAAAGAAAGCGCTAATACACTCATAGGTATACTTATAAATATAAAAAAAAATTCAAAACGACTGCCGTACTCACCTAATTCGTTGGGAAACTTCTCGTGTGCCATCTCCACCATTCGCTCCGTCCACCACAAATCCTGACAGCTAGCATTATTGCCACCACTACTGTGGTTGTTATTGTTGTTAGCATTATTATGATTATTGCTACTACTATTCGTATTACTATTACTACTATGCGCCGTACCATTGCTAGCACCGCCAATGGGTGAACTACTACCAATGCTCGCGTTACTGGGTGGCAACGTTTGCGGCACTGAAGCGGCTTCACACCAACGCATCGGCGAGGTACACGATGTGGCCATAGCGGCGGCGCCATTGCCAATCAAATTGCAAACATTGTGCCCGACGGCATCGTCGATACCAACACCAATGCCAATGCCGACACCGGCAACGCCGCCGCCGCCGCCACCGCCACCGACACCGCCACTGCCGAGACCGACGAGTCCGCCAGACGATGAACCGCCGCTGTAGACTGCAGCCGATGCGCCCGGCATATGCATTCGTCTTTGGTAAGGAGCAATTTTGGCGGCGTTCGGATAAACGGTGGCGGAAGAAATGGACCTAAGACAACCAACGGCAGCCACGTTGGTGTTGTTGGGTACAGCCAGCAACGGTGGCTGCGTCGGTAGGTGGTAGGTGTCTGCACCGTTATGAACTCTCCCGGAATGTTGTTGTAATGGCGGAATACTATTCGGAACGACGGCGGCGACGGCAGGATTACTGGGCGTAGTTTTTATCTTCAGCTTTGCGAATTTTTAAAACGAAGTAAGTCAAGAAATTGTACTTCACTGGGGTGAGCCCACCAAGCGTGTGTTTTTACATGAGTTTTCTAACGGTATTTTACACTTGAACTTGCATTTGCTTTAATTGTGAAGTGTTTTGTAATCTTCCAACTAAAACCGTCTGGCAACACAAATTCTGCACTTTTCATTTAAATAGATTTTCATTAGCCAAACACTGAAATTTTGAATCAGGTTTTTTATGATTATTTCGAAATTTAACACAAATTGTCACAGTTTCATTGTTGTTGTTGTTATATTATAGCGTAGCGTGATTTTGACGCACAAATGCAGCTTCGTAGCTTCCGAAAAAATTGGAAAATCCCATACTCTACCGGAAACTTTGAATTGATCACTGATTTTTAATTGCTCAGAGTGATTTGCATATACACGCATACATTCACATGTTTATATGTACATATATATGTGCAGTTATGTATGAGTATCAGCAGTTTGTTTGTGCATATGACAAATTAGCAACTTAGCTAATAAATGATTAAGCAAAAAGCGGCGTCAAATTAACATAAATTAATACAATTCAATCTCTTCATTCAATTTGTAATTTTGAAACGAGACAGCGTGACGTACACTTGTCTCGCTGTTTGTTTGTTGCGCTGAAGCTCACGGAATGCTTCAGCACGCATCGTAAGGTGAGTCACCCGCTCTGGTGAAGTCAGTAGCGCGCCGTTATCGCGAAAGACACGCTGAAACAGCTGCGCCGGCGTGTATGAGTTTATTTCTTGAGCTGATGCGTCGGCTTTAACGAGTTCTCAGAAAAAGACAACGAAACGTAAAAGCTTGTTTGAATGGAGGTGTGAATATGTGAATATCAAGCTTGATTTCTGTTTTTTTTTTCTTGCTGTGAACTCGATTAGTTAATATTGATGTTCGCTGATTTTTGGCCAAATGCAGTTGGCTTAAAACAGAGAAAATCTCTTCGCGATACTCCAAATAAGGTTATTCGCTCTTAAACTAAAGTATGCTTGTAAATCTAATATGTATACCTAAAAATTCTCGATTATTGAGACGAATACGAGTCTCTACTGAAGGCAGTAATCAAAAAGGAAATCGAATGACTTTCATATGCTTTTGTGACGAACATGAAGCGTATTTTCGATTACTTTAACATGGACATACTAGTAAATATATTAAATCCAAACGAATTTTCCACACCGCTAAGCAATAGCTTAAAATAAATTTTAAAGTTTAATTTAAAAAAAAAAAAACATTTCAGTTACACCGAAGCTATAATAATACCCTTCACAAAAGGGTATAAAGAGATATTTATCTTGATTTTGATCGTTCAGTTTGTATGGCAGCTATAACCGATGTTTAGTGGTCCGATTTCGGCGGTTTTGACAAATGAGCAGCTTCTTGGGGGGAAATTTTCAGACTGATATCTCAAAAACTGAGGGACTACGACATTTCCTGCTGGGTGTTACAAACTTCGTGTCAAACTTTATATATCCTGTTCAAACTGTAAAAATCACATGCAAACTAACACTCTCACACGCAATCAAAAGCAATAGATAAAATTATATGTGATACCCGAAGAAGTGCGATGCTCTCCGAGTACCATCGTCGCATAATTTGGAATAAACCCTTTAACGCTACAGCATATTGGAGAGGGGTAAAAATAGCTGCATTATTTGATCAATTGAATAGTTTTTTTGGACACTAAAGATCCTAACGTTTAACCCCAAAAAAATGTAATATCTTGAAAATCCTTGTCAAATTATTTAAATCAAATAAAGTGTTGTTTTTAGGTGCTATAGATCTTAAGGGATAAGTCAAAATCCAAGACAAATTAATTAAATGTTTAAATAAAGTTGATCGAATGTGACATTTGTGTATTATTCGACAAATCGCAACATAGTACCTTGCAAGCACTAACAAAAAAACATGTCTTCAAAAAGTTCGAAATTGAGTATTTTATAGATAATGATTCACTACATCATAATTAATGTATATATGTATTTGGGTAGAGCGAAAAAAATGGGGGTAAAATTTTGGATAAAAAAAATTTTTTTTTAATATCTAGAGATGGCGCACTAATTAATGTAAATTTCAAGTTAAAAATTTTTTGGACAAAAAAAAAATTTTTTGGTTTAAACTCTTCACGTTTATAATATAAAATATACCGAATTTGACTGTTTTTGACTCAAAATTTATTTTAACGCTTAAGGAAAGCATGTGGTCATTTAAGAATTTTTTTTAAAACTCCAATAATGACCACAAAACATTTTTTTAAGTTGATAAATTTTAATTGACCAGAAAGAGGACTCTCCACAGCTTCTAGAGCACTTATCAAAAAAAATTTACGAAATTTAAATTTTAACTCGGAAATTTACTTTAAAACTGAGCTTTTGTCCAAAAATTTACTTTTTTTTAATCTACCCCCAGGCTAAGCCAAAAAAAATTTTTTTTGACCCACCCGTCGTGTACGTATGTGCATATTTATGAACAAAATTTTAACCGTCAGCTACCAGATACATCCAAATTCAAATTTTGTTTCAATAAGAGTAGCTTCTTTTTAATATCGTATTTTGAAGAAAACAAAAAGATGATTTAGAAAAAGATTTAATAGCAAAATACTTGTATTGCATAAACGGTAGGATTATTCATTTGGATCGATGGTTTCCACTAATTCAAAACTTTCACAGTCAAAATATATTTTACACAATAATCTTGTATTATTTTTGGAATATAAAACGTTTTTCAGAACAATTCTTTACACCCATGTACATGTAAGTACGTATGTATGTGAATACCTCCACATTTACATTTACGCAATGTGTCGTTATTAAAAAAAGGAACAAACAAAATCACACCACTCGCTTGGCGCCAAGTAGTTTGAGTTGACGTTAATTAGCATTAATTAAATTTGAGCATTTTGCCAAAATCAAGCATTGCTGCAAATCAATCAGTGAACTTTCCGTTAATTTGTTGTTTATTTTTACGAAAGAAGATGGAAATTTTTTTTTACCGGAAAACGACAAACCAAATATTATTACCATTTCACAACAACTTTTACTAAGTAGACAAGTACATATGTAGTCCGATTTGATAAGTTTCCGTGTAGATGTTTAGTTATAAAACGTGTGTAAATGGTTAGCTGTAATTATATTTAATTATTGACTTAATTTATTAATTAGAAATAGCACATTATTCACGCTATGCTGTTGATATTATATTACAAATGCATGTATACACACATACATACACATACATACATATATGTTATTCCAAATGGTGTTTATCAAACGCTTTCAAATAACAACACAACAACAACAACAATAATACTGTATCATTTACAAATTTAACTTCAATTTTCACAAACCGTTTTAGCGCAAAATTTCGATGATTTTCACAAATATTTATCTGACACTTTCTTAATCTCAATTATAATATTCTTACGAATAAACCATAAGTTTAAGTCAAAGTTTCACTTTGTGTTTCAAACGTCACATTGAAGTAATAACATTATTTTAAATTTAATTTTTTGTTGATATTATTTATTATCGCTTATTACTCAGATCACTAACTCATATTGATTTTTTTTTGTATATTTATTTTTATGAATTTATAATTTTATTGTTTTTTCAGCGCGCAATTTTTTTTTTTTTCTATTTGAATTTACTACTGCAGCTTACTCATCTACGCGCGTTTATAGTAAAACTGTATTTGAATTTTGCTCTCAACGATCACTAGTCTGCGTCACACTATAAAACCGTTGCTACTGCGATGCTTTTATGAACCGAACAAAATTGATACTGGCACTTGCCGTGGTCACCAGCAGTGGGCTAACCCAGCAGCTACAGTGAGCCAGCGGCAGCGTGGCAGCGGCAAAAGCAACTAACCTGCATGCGAATATTATATACATACATAAAAGTAAAAAACGAACGCACTCACACAGCCTCACACGCACCAAGTGGGAAGACCAGAACGCGCAGTAGCAGCAATAACAAGCAAGTAATCGAAAGACCGCTTTTTATCGCAAACGCGATTGAGGTTTGCAAATTTTTATTTATTTTCACATTTGATAAGATATTCCTGTTTTTTATTTAATTTTTTTATTTAAATTGTAAATTGTAAATTTTTATTTTAGAAAAATTGCGCTCGAAACCATTATTTACTCGCTTAAGAGCACAGGTGCGCGCCTTTTGGATTTTGAGCGAATTCAGCTATTTGAAATACAAAGTCTTTGGAGTCGCTCAATACGCCAGCTCGCACACTGCCTCCAACCGGCTTTATGCTCACTGTATTTCATGCTCTCCAAACACACAAATTGCCGTTTGTTTTATGCACCATCGCACGAACATAACTTTCTTTTGTTTGCTCTCTGCAAACGCTTTACTGTATGGCCTATCAGCGCATCCGCCAATCAGCGGCGCGCTTCTCTTGAAGTACCGACTTCCACTTGTTGTTATTCGGCGAGAGTGCATGCGAAGTTTTACACAGTAAAGACTTATTGTGTTTCTTTTTTTGCTGTTCACTTCAATTACCGCATCGTTGTGTGTAGTTGGCATTTAAAGTGCTCGCGCACGCTGATTGGTTGCCCTCGTGTATATAAAAGTAAGCACCACTCCATATGTTTGAAAGCGCAGTGCCTTGTTTGTTACAATGTTTGTGTGCTCATGCATAGTTATGTATGTGACGTGGAGTGTGAGTTTTTATTATATTGTGGTTTGTTGTTTTTTCAGGCTGTGCTTGTGCCAATGAATAAATGAAAAAGGTTGGGCCTTCAACACGCACACTCGCTTACACACACATACAGCAGCGCATACAGGAATAACAACAACTGGCTGTGAGCATAAGTGTGGAAATTTATATGGGGCGCAGTAAAATGTATATTTGTATGAATGTGTACATACTGTTCGCTTTGTATGCGCTCTTTACTTTTTATGTGATTTTTGTTGCTGCGTCTCTTGCGCACAGATTGTTGATTGAAAAATAAACCAGTTTTTGCACATTCGTGGATATGTCTGTAAGTAAAAATTTGTGTTTTTGTAATTTTATATTAATTTCTTTCTTGTTCACTTGGCACATTGACATATGGTCCATGGAAGATTAATATAATTAATAAGTACACACATGCCTTGTAGATTTGTTCTGAAGGAGTTTCTTAAAATTTTTTGGTTATAATACGTAAAATATAACTTAAAAAATGATACCCACACAAATGTAGGAGTTTAAACTTAAAATTGTATAGTTAGAAATAAAATGTTATTACCTTTACTGTCATTCTTGAGTGCTTGGTTTTTCATTTCGCTTACGACAGCAGCTATTTCTTCGCCACTCTGTTTTGAAATTTTCCTTTAGGATAATAGAATATACGTTAATATATGTGTGTGTATGTACATATGAGCTATGTTAATTTTCAGTGAAGAAGAAAGAGAAGTTGGGGAACCGGGCCTCGAGTTTACAGTGGGCCCGGTGCTATGCAACAATTTTTTGCCAATTTTTTCTCAAAAGACACTGCACAAATATTGTTAGGAGCGAAAGTGAGGCAAATGAGCTAAGGCGTGAGCATCCCTGCTTTAGATGATCAACTTTCATACCATTGCTCGATCAACTTTTTAGCACAAGCTTTTATAAAATATGGAAATTTGACAAAAAAAAAAAAATAATAATAACTTGATTAATGCAAGTTGAAAAATCTCTCATATTATGATAATATTGTTGCGCAAATGACCATGTGACGCCGCTAATAAATTTTTGTTATTTTCAAAATTTATTTCACTATAATATTTTGGAGGCCAGAGCAAGCTCAGAATTGGCGCATTTAATCTGCATCTAATGGCAGATTTACATAGAACTTTAGCTTCGCTTTGCGTCAGGCTTTGACAAAAAAAGTGGATGTATACAGCAAGGCGAAGCAAAATGTTGGACAAGTCTCATCTTTTTACGCTTACCCAAACAACAGTCGACATTTTTATTTGAAAGAAACACTGCAAGCAAAGAATTCATTGTGGCATAACCTTGGATTTTTCGCTTCGTTGTTAAAGTATAAATTGTCAAACAAAGCAGAGAAAATTGTATGTAAATGGGCCATATCGCTTCCAGTTTTTGTCGCTTCGAATACTGAAACATATTCTCGAAATATGTACATACATACGTTTATGTTAAATACACACTCGTACATACATACTCGAATATACGTATGTATGTATTGTAATACTGTGCTCTTTGCTGGGTACCAAACCAAGTTTTTCAAGAGATTGAGTCATAAGTAAAAAAGTAATATCTCCATTTTTCGAAGTTAGCCTCGAAATCGAAATATTTGCCATATTTCAAAATGGAGTAATTTTACTCAAATAAATTAGTAAAAATACGGGCATTATCATTTCTCTTATTTCAATAGTGTATATCATTTTTCGGTCAAACTTATATGACTGATGCTATAAGGGCTGGCATTCTGATCTTCAAAATCAATAACCATTTTCTAATTGAAAAGCTACTGGCCCGATTATTGAAAATTTGATTTCTGCAAAAGTCGATTTTGCCGTACAGTGTAATTGAATGAATGATATTTTTCAATACATACTTTGGAAACTCTATGTTAGTTGTTTAGGTTATATAAATAAATATAATAAATTAACAAAGCGAGGAGAAAATCGCTTTGCATAAAAAGTCTGCAGTTAGAATTTAAAATAAACTAATCTAAGAATATTATATTTTTTATTATTATTTTACATACATAAAAAAACGAGCTTTACATTGCCGAGAGTGTTAGAGATCGTAGTTCAGGAAATTTTCAAAATATTATACAATGAATTAAATATTTTATAAGAAAAGTTTTTGTAGTAATTTAGAAGAAACGCCAAATATCCTATCTGTAAGTGTGAGATTTAATCTTATTATAAGTATTTTTATACTATTGCAACATGTTGCCACAGAGTATAATAGTTTTTTATTATTATTTTTTTTTTAATAAATTTATTTTTACAAAGAACTGTGTTTATTATTTGTTTATAATAGATAATAGTAATTTTAAAAATTTTGATATTTATAATTTCTCATATTCAACATAGCCTTAGTATTTTTCGGAAATGTATCGGTTAATTCAGAAGCATATTTCAACTAAATTTTCATACATGGAAGCCTTGAATATTTTCTTATCCATATGTACATACTTGTACATATGTATGTGTATTTTATCTGAAATACTAAGAGCCATTTTGTCAATGTACATACAAATGAACATTTGTATATTACACACATAAGTATAAGAATTAAACTTTTTAAGGTTATGTTGAATGCTTCAAATACTGTATATAAATGTAGAAAGATGGAGTATTGGTTGCGTAAGCCATAACTTAACTATTAGATGGTTCCTAACCAGACACTGAGAAAACGGTCCTAAACGTTCTTAAAATATATATTTCATTTTATGCATATACATATATACGTACATTTATATACATCATTTGAAGCTTTAACATTCAACATAACCTTAAAAAGTTTAATAACTATGCATACTTAAATGTGCATTATACAAATGTTCATTTGTATGTATGTACATACTAATATATGCCATACAGCAAAAGTTCATTTCTCAGCTTCACCATTGAAGAGCATTTTCTACGCTCCTACCATTTATTACCAACATTCAGTTCCACTCCGCTTTAACTTTTGGTAAATAGTACATACTCGTATAGCAGTATGTACGCTCATAAGCATATAAATACATATGCATGTATGTATGTATGTTGAAATATATACTCGTTTGGTGCAGCCTTTTTTCAAAAGATGGATTAATTTTCATTACTCGCACAGACTTTTGTGGTTAATTAACGTTTTTACTATTGAATGGCACAAAGTATGGTAAGTAAAAATCTTTATTGTCATTTCTGCTTTAATAGAAGACGAGAATATGCAAATGTTGGAATGCGCAGAAGGTATGAAATTTTTTTAATAAAGCCACTGCTTTGTTTGTGAAATAGTTTAATTTCAGGGTCCATACTATTTGGACATGTGCAGTGGAGAGCAAAACCGTAAATATGTTTGCTGAAAGCGAATTGATGTGATTTCTAGTCGGATATATGAAAATTTGCAGCTTATTGAGTGGTTTTTCGAAACAGTACCAAAATCAAAAAAAAAAGCGTATCGGAAAGCGAGTACTTCTAGCGTATATATGGGTAATATGCGCTAATAGTATACCTATCTTTAGGGATATTTTCCTCGCTTTTGTTATGTACCTCTTACAGTCCAACAATTGACGATATTAATAAGTTTTAAGATGACTCCAAACGGCTAAACGACTTAATGAGAAGCACTTTTTTGCCTGCAATGCGCTTTGAGATGCGTAAAAAGTGACCTTTAATGGGAAAAAACTTTGAGATATTGATCTCTAACGACTAAACAACAGAGATAAAACCAATATTTAGGACTTAGCCGGACGAAATGATAAAGATAGGCAGGAAATTAGCAAAAATAGAATGTTTGAAAATTTAAGTTCTGGAAGAGACTCATATATGACTGAACTTAAGCGGTATTAATTTGATAACAACTAGAAAAAACGTTAACTTCAGCTGCACCGAAGCTCTAATAACCTTCATAAGGGTATTTCTTATAGCATTAAATGGTATAAAAATATCTTTTTTCTTGATATTGATCGATCAGTTTGCATGGCAGCTACGTGCCACAATGGTCCGACCTGAACAATATAATCGTAGACTGTAGTGTTGCCTTGACCAATAATTCACACAAATTTTCGTGAAGATATCTTGTCAAATAAAAAAGTACGTACAAAGACTTGATTTCGACCGATCAATTTGAATCGCGGCTATATCTTATATTGGTCCGATAATGAGTAGTGTGCAACCTTTGTTTACATTTTATGCGGTCCCCTTGACCCTTTTATTTATTTACATTTAGCCAAGTCCACAACCTTTTTAACATTTGGGGTCTTTGAGCCTTTTGCTTACATTTCGTGCATATAGACGGACATGGCTAAATTGACTCAGCTCGTCATGCTGATCATTTATGTACTCATGTATACTTTATAGGACAAACTTAATATACCCTGTTGTGGGTATAAAAATATATTTTTGGCATCGTTCCTAACTCTATGGAATGCTCTCGAGTGAAATATGAGTGTCCTAACTATCTAATTTATCAAACGATTGAGTTGTTTCCGTTCTTTCTAGTTAATTTCTGAATTTATCCTTTTTTTTTGTTTTTGTTAATATATCTGTCTTACGTTGTTATGCTATATGTTTATTTCTGAAAAAATTTAAGTTCTTATAATATAATAACCTTTCAGAAGTGCATACATACATATATATGTGTGTATATGCCGCTATTACATGTATATTGTTGCTATATGCTTTTACGCTTAGCTTTGTTTAATCTTTTATTGTTTTTGTTGGAACATTACTTGTGATTTAGTTCTGTGGGAAAATAAATTTTTGATAAAAATTACTCGACTTCAACCGGAAAAGCAACATATGTGACACTACTATCAACAGCTGAAGCTTGCAAGCCCAGACATACATATATACATACGTCTATATGAGTAAATGTATGTATATAGATATGTATTTCAGTCGTCGGCATGTGGATGTGTAGGTGAGCATGAAAGTAAGGCAGCCTAATGAGACATTAATTGTCAATAAAACAATTGATAATTAATTAGCGCTAATTCAAATTGGCAAATACGACGCTGTCTCCTAAATTAGAACACTTAAAGGTCACACCGAGCTTGTTTGATTTTTTTTAAATTGAATTTTACCCACAATTTTTTTATTCGGATCAAAAAACTGGTAGTTCAATGTCTAAAGATAGGCATGAGTGCCTTTCCTGCCGGGTATTTCGTTTGTTTAGTATTATCAACTAAGTACGTTGATCAATCCTTAAGCGAAGTGTAAGTTTAAGTTCCCATTTGATAAAGCACATACATATGTACTTATATATATATGTATATAGTGTGGAATATTTGATATAGTATAGTATGTATTTATGGGTCTGTTTATGAGAATTAATTTTTGTATATTCCCACTACACAAGGCAGAAAATTTAAATAAATTGCGTATTTTTTTCAATGAATAATAAATGCTGATTTGATAAACTGTGTTCTCATGATAATTTCAGATTAAATTTTACACAAAGTTTCCAAATTTAGGTATCTACGATTGTATTAAATTATTCAAAATTCTTTTTAAAATATTTAGGCCTAAATCTATTGCATCAGTAAAGGAATTTAATAGAGTCCTTAACACCTCAGCATCTTAGTTATTATAAGATCAGATAATTGTAGATAAGTTACAGTTACTTTAATTCATTTGTTTACGGGAAACTATGCTTAAATTTTATTCGAAATTGCTGAAATTAGAGAGTCGGAAGTTTCGAAAATATATTTACTCATAGTGAAAAGCAACAATAATTAAGGACAAATTAATACAAATATGCACATATTTGTTAAGGTTTAAACCAGAATAACAAATAATTGATAGTAGTCAAAAGAAATCAGAAAATAATTATGTAAAACTGTTTAACATTATATTTAAAATAGTAATCTCTCGTATTACTTGTTACATTAAAGATATTCACCAGGTTTATCCAAAAATGAACATCGAAAACGAGTCTATCGGCAGTAATGAAAATCGATATATCGTTCTCACTTCTAACGAATAAAACCAATAAAACTTGCAATGTGCCGTTTCAGACAGGGATGCAAAAGAGTCTGATCTTTTTCAAATTTTCTTTTGGTGTCGCTCTGGGCATTCACACGGTCAAAAAGAGTCCAGCAACTCGAGTCTAGTTTTTCTGCATTCCTTTTCACAAAATGTTCGTAAATATTTGTGCGGTTCGACTGCGCAACACCGCGCAACACTGCGTGCTGCGTATTTCATTTGTATGTTGAGATGATGGTCACACATTTTGCTTGCAATGAATTACCATGAATATGGTAGAACAATATGCATAATACAAGTACCTACCCGCTAAATAGTTTCAAAAAAATACTAAAGACGGGAATTCCCTAATCCACAAGAATGTATTGAATATCCGCTACTAATATTTTCAAGGCCAAATTTATAATAGGAATTTCCTAATCTTTAAGTATTAAAAACTCATAATTTCTTTACTGCGTATTAAAAATTCATAATTTCTTTACTCCATAATCTATATCTTAATTTTCTCCTTATTTACAATTTGTCATAATATTTCTATTATTCTATGCATACATATTTGCATATTACATACAAAAATAGATAACAGAACTCAAATTTGCGATCGAATTCATTTGAAACCGAGCGCTCTTGCAACCATTCAAAGGATTTGAAAGTGAAAAGGAATGCTGAAAAGGGTAGCAGCGAGCTGTTACGAACAAGAACACAAAGCGTGCCACCCGAACACGAGTGGCACGGTCCCTTCGTCTTTCCTCGTCGTCCCCTCGCCCACAATAAACTGGTATGAGACTCTTTTGCGTCCCTGTCTGAAACGGCACAATCAGCTGTTGATGTTTACGTTTCATATTCCTTAATTATAATAAACGTGCGTGAGTAGTGTGTTTTTGGTTTGGTGCTTCGTTATCATTTCATTTATTTATTGACAAATTAAAATATACAAAAGCGGCGTCGACTAATAATTAAAATAAGAGTTTAGACAAATTACAACAATTTTCAAGTTTTCCAAATTAGTGAAATGCTTTTATTATTAAATCGCATAACAAAACCGACAAGTGCATTGCTATGGCAAAATATAAAGATAAACGTGAAACCATTTGCACCCGTTTTTATGAAGTTCTATAACACAACGTCAGAGGAAGCAATGGCTGTTAGCGATAAAACCAAAGTTACTAGTGAACGAATTAAAATCGGTGATGTAATCAAAGATTTAAAACCACCAACGAATCCAGAGCTAGTGCCACAAAAATATGGTAAGCAGCGTGACAAGTTTTGATGCGTTTCTATAATCTGTGAACAAGTCCAAAGTCCAATCGGTGAACATACAATCTTCGACGATCTGTGGTCCAATGACCTAGGGAAAATAGATTACAGACAATTGTTTTTTTTACAGTTTGCAGGTATTAAAAATGTGATGTTTTTAAGCCTACAAGATAAAGATATAATAGTATATGTGAAAATTACATAAAAAATTGTGTAAATTATTTGTTTCCGCGCAGTGCAATACAACGAGGATGGCACACTACAGCTAACACAATCAGCGTTACATCATTTGCGTTGGATGCTGCAGAAGGATATCTTAAAACAGGATATGTTTCTTATTGGTCAGCCTGGTTCACTACGGCGGCAACTGGCCATGCAATATCTAGAATTAACGCAACGCGAATTGGAGTATATAGCCTTAAGCAGAGACACCACCGAGAGCGATCTGAAGCAGCGAAGAGAAATTAAAGATAAAGCTGCTATTTATTATGATCAGGTTAGTTTGCAAGCACTTAGTGTTATTAAAAAAATATATTCCAATACATTTTTTTTTGTTATGCAGTGTGCTGTGCGTGCTGCGGTGAACGGCCGTGTTTTAGTGCTTGATGGTGTGGAGCATGCCGAGCGCAATGTGTTGCCCATATTAAATAATTTGCTGGAAAATCGTGAAATGCATTTAGAAAATGGCAAATTTCTAATGGCACCCGAACGATACGATAAATTGTTGGAGGTAAGTGGTGAACACGAATTATATATTTAAGTTTTCCTCGAGGTTCGTAACACCCAACAGGAAACATCGGAGACCTTACTAAATATATTTAAAAATTATTAGCATGAGTTGACTTAGTCATGTCCGTCTGTACATACGCGAACTAGTCACCCTGTTTTTGAGCTATCTCGCACAGTTTTCTCTCCAAGAAGCTGCTCATTTGTTAGAACCGCCGTTATCGGACCGATATTGCTTATAGCTGTCATACAAACTGATAATCAAAACCAGTCCTTGTATGAAAAGCTTTTTTATTATACTAGATATCTTTCCGAAATTTGACATGGCTTATTTTCAAAGGCAACGGTACATTCTCCGCTTAAATTGTTCAGAACGCATTACTATAGCATATAGCTGCCTTACAAACTGATCGATCAAATTAAGTTCTTGTATGGTTTTTTTTCTTTTTTCTGACTTTTCTTTTTATATTTTTTATAGACTTACACAAAGGAGGAATTGGACAAGTTAGGCGTGCTAAGAGTTTCTGAAGATTTTCGTGTGGTTGCGCTTGGGCTGCCTACGCACAAGTATAAAGGCACACCGTTGGATCCACCTTTGCGTTCTCGTTTTCAATCGCGTAATGTGTCGCATCTTGCATTCGAAGTAAGTTCAAAGACTTTATGACACAATGATTTTTGTAACTTATTATCATATATAAAATGGCTGTTATATATATTTTTTTAGGAAATGCTAATCGATCTACAGCATGTTGCCCCAAATGTAACTGTGGACCAGCTGAAGAGTTTAATTAGTTTTGGTATGGCAATTCAAGCTGCTGATCAGGCCGATAATCTGCCAGATTTTGCACTAGACAATCTTCATTTGGTGGCTAAAATGATGGTATTTGATGACACCTTCTCTCTTTTTTTGTTATCTACAACTAGTACCGATTTTCAATTTAATTCTAGCAACAAAATCCGCACATCAGCGTACATGATGCCATTACACGCATCTATCCATACCAAACATGCATGAAGAAAGAGCACATTGAACGCGTAAAAACGTTATTAAATTCTTTAAAAATCAATCCATTAGAAAGCAAACCTGTGAAAAGTATTGCTGTAGCCAAACCGAACGAGCAGACGCCAGATGTTTTGGAATTCAAAATCGACGATGTCTCCATCTCAGCAGCTGGCAGTCATCGCGTAGTTGCACCGCAAAAGCTGCAAGAATTCGTAGATCTTGACCACCAACGCAATGTCTTAGCAGCAATGATACAAACGATTGCCGTGGGCGATGTTTGTTTGATTGGTAGAAAGCATTTAAAAAAATCGCAAACATTTTGTGACCACTTTTTTTTCGCTCAGGTCAAAAGGGTGTCGGAAAGATGACGCTCACAAATCATTTGGTACACTTACTGAATCAGTCGGTGGAGACATTGATACTCTATGAGGATATGACATCACGTGATTTAATACAACAACGCATTACTTCGCCGGAGGGTGATACAGTATGGCGCGACTCGCCGCTAGTACGTGCTGCAAAATATGGCTCCATCGCCGTGCTGAATGGCGTGCATCGTTTGCATAAGAGTACGGTTACTTCGCTGCAACGGTATGTATATACTTGAAATTTATTGCTTACCCGCAAAAAAAAAAATTACTATATATTTTTACAATCGCAGTTTAATACAAGATCGTGAATTGCAACTCTGTGACGGCACAATAATGCTACATGCGGATCGTTACAACGCACTCATACAGCAGGGACACACTAAACTAGAATTGGCCGAAAAGAATATAATGAAAATACACGATTCATTTCGCATAATTGCGCTGGGTGAGCCGCCCAATCCTAGTCAACCGACACCAAACTGGCTTACATCAGAAATGCTAAGCCTATTTCTCTTCCTTGAAGTTCGACCACTACGACAGAGTGAAGAGTATGAAATTATACGCAAACTTTACGGAGATGTTCATGAGGATATACATAAAATCATTAATTTGTCACACAGTTTGCGTGAAACGCATGACACCACACTTTCGAACCTCGCTGGTACATTGTCGACACGTCAACTTTTGAAAATCGCGCGACGCATGTCAGCCTGCCCCGGCAGCAGCCAACAAGCGAGCACTTTAACCTCCGCCTATGATATACTGCAGAATACTTTTCTCGCCAAATTCATGCCCGCGCTGCCGCGCGCCGCACTTGAGGATGCCATAGCCCGTGCAGGCATCGAGAAGAGCAGCGTACGCGCGGGCGTACGACGCGAAATCAATATTGTGAACAATGTGTTGACCATAGGCAACACGACTATGCCGTTGGTCGCCACAGATGCCGAGTCGAAGGTGCCAAGCACGCTATTCTATGAGATGCCACAACATGTGGAGCTCTTGGAGCGCTTATTACAAGATTTCCTAATTGGCGATCACTTGCTGCTGGTGGGTAATCAGGGTGTGGGCAAAAACAAGCTCATCGACAAGCTGCTGCAGTTGATGAATAAGCCACGTGAGTACCTGCAATTGCATCGTGATACGACTGTACATAGCTTGACGGTGCAGTCGACACTACGCGATGGTCAGGTCATCTATGAGGATAGTCCGCTTGTAAAAGCCGTTAAGAGTGGGCATATATTGGTTATCGATGAAGCCGATAAAGCTCCCGTGAATGTGACATGTATATTGCGCACGCTCGTCGAGAATGGCGAAATGTTTCTCTCGGACGGCCGTAAAATTGTGCCAGCCGGCGAAGCGGCAGCGGCTAGAGATGCTGGTCATACTGGTGAAATCATTGAAATGCAGCCGAATTTCCGTGTTATAGTGCTGGCCAACAGACCGGGCTTTCCCTTTCTTGGCAATGATTTCTTCGCTTCCTTGGGTGACGTCTTCAGCTGTCACGCCGTTGATAATCCCTCACCTGATTCAGAAATATATCTCCTGCAGAAGTATGGCCCCTCAGTACCGTTGAAAACGCTCGCTATGCTGGTGAATGCCTTCGGCGAACTGCGCACAATGGCCGATGAGGGGCTTTTAAACTATCCATACTCTACCAGAGAGGTGGTAAATATTGTTAAACATTTGGAGAAATACCCAAATGAATCCATGTCCGAATTGGTAGGCAATGTATTAGACTTTGACAAATATCAACCCGAGGCACTGGAACAGGTGACTACGGTTTTGTCCAAACATGGTCTACCCATCGAAGCCTATGCACGTAACGAGCTGTTTGCATTGCGTCGCAAGAAGGAAATTCAACTGACGGTGGAGCGCAAGAGTGGTCTGGGTGTCTCCGAACCCAAATACGGTAAAGTGGATCCGAAAAATGAGCCGCATGTGGGTGGTAATACTTGGGCCGGCGGCACCGGTGGTCGCGACACTGCTGGTCTCGGCGGCAAAGGTGGTCCGTTTCGTTTAGATGCTGGGCACAAAGTTCATCAACTCTCCGATGCGGAGAAAGATGATATACCTGAGGAAGTGAAGCGTGCAGCACGCGAAATGAATCGCAAGGCGTTCGAAGATAAGTTGAAGGAGATACGCATGTCAGCGCATGATCATCAATTATATGCACAATTCAGCGAACCCATACGAAAACAAGTGCAACAGCTGAAAGCCGTTCTGGAGGCCATGCAGACGCAGAGTAAGGAACGACAATGGCAGAAATATCAAACACACGGCGAACTGGACGACACGCGTTTAATTGAAGGTATTACGGGCGAAAAGAACATCTATAGACGACGCGCTGAGGCCAATCCATGGGCCGATCACGTGCAGGAAAAACCAAATCGTTTGAAGTTAGTGGTCGATGTTTCCGGTTCCATGTACAGGTAACTGTCCTAGCTTTGAACCGCTTAACATTATCTAAAATTATTTTTTCGTTGTGCAGATTCAATGGTTACGACGGTCGTTTGGATCGTGAACTCGAAGCCGTTGTCATGGTTATGGAAGCATTCGAGGGATTTGAGAAGAAAATCGTTTACGACATCGTTGGTCACAGCGGCGAAGGTTGGGAAATACCTTTCGTTTGTGCTGGCAGTCCGCCGAAAACGGATAAGGAACGTTTCGAGACCATACGCATGATGCATGCACATTCGCAGTTCTGTTGGTCCGGTGATAGCACGGTCAAGGCTATTAAAGAAGCCGTGAACACATTGTCGAACGAGGAGTACGACAACTCAATCGTGGTCGTGCTTAGCGATGCGAATTTGTCACGTTACGGCATACAACCGCGAGAAATGGCGAAGGCGCTGATGAATGGTGAGCCCAAGGTTAAAGGTCACGTGCTATTCATTGGCAGTTTGGCAGAGGAGGCGGTTGAGTAAGTTTACTTAATTTGAGTTACGAGCATTTCACTCTACTTATAACTGTTTTCTTTGCAGAATAAATGCACAAATGCCAGCAGGTCACAGTTACGTCTGCATGGACTTGACGAAGTTGCCACAAATTCTCAAGCAAATCTTCACATCCTCATTGTTGTGATAACTTTTTACCGTTAATTTGTATAAATATGTTTCTTTAGCAAATATTAGTGTAAGTCGAAAGTAGTTGAAATTTTATAAAATGTAAATTTACTTTGCATTGTGTGTATATATGATTGTGTATACTTGTACAAGTAAAGTGTTGATAGTTATATATGTACATACATATATTTAATACGACTATAATATTTGTTGAAAATCTTGTTTATTTTTATAACCAGTGAGTGCATTTAAAATTCTTTGTTAGTATATTTGTAAGTAAGAAGAAAAAAAATTGATATATTGAAAAAAAAAATTTTAAGCAAGCTTTGAAAACTGACATTTATGTAAATCGTTGTTATTATAATTATTTTCAGGTTTACCGAGGTTAACCGGTCTGCGTTAACCGAAAGCACACAGGTTTATGTCCTACCAATGATTGTTCACATAAAATAATTTACTAATACTTTTTGGAAAGTATTTTATGCTGCAACAACAATAACAAAAACATCATATTTTCGCAGAGGCCGGATTAATTTCAAACAATAATTAAATACCCTATATGTGGTTGGTTCTATCTAAATCCTTATGGTTTGAACCAGAACTCTAATTTTAATCCATTAAGGCCATTAAAAAATCTCAGAGTTGAAAATTATTTTCATTAACATAACTCCTTCTAGGTCAAATAAAAGAGAGAGAAAGCGAAACCTTTTGGCGATTTATTTCTCAACATAATTTCTAATTAGCTCAATAAACTTGATACAGTGATGTTCCAACCTCTTTAGCTCATCTGAAAAACTCGTTTTCTGGAGGTTTGTTAAGTAGGTATTCTTGGCAGTGATAACCTTCTCATACGACATAAATGTTTCTTCGGCGATTGACTTTTTTAAGCCTCGAAATATAAAGAAGGCGCACAGTGCCAAGCCTGAAGAAATCCGTTAATAAGGTACTAATTTGACTGTGGCGACCACGGAGATGTGAAATGGTGCTTTGTCATGATTGTGTCAAATCAAACCAATAATTGGCATATTAAGGCCCCATGACCGTTTTGCTCTTGTCCAAAAAGACGATGTAGATCACGCCTTGTGAATTCCAAAATGCATTCGCTTAAACGTCTAAAAGGACTTCGCCTTCTTCAGTGAAGGTCCGTCCTCTTTCGACTACTCCTTGATCTCTCGTGTATCGACGAACATAATATGACACAGTAACTTATTCGGATTGTTCTTTCACAGCATTACACAGTGCTGTGAAGTGGTCTTGCAGTAGAGCTTGTTATCTGAAGAGAGAAGACGAGGCACCCATCGCCCCGACAGCTTTCTCATGTCCAATATTTTATTAAACCAATTTATGACGGTCGTCGTCGAAGAAGAGTGGTCGCCGTATACAGCGTTCAAGCGCTTTTTGATTCCATTGCACAATTTGCCTTCTAAAAACCAGAATCAAAAGATATTACTCCATTTAAATTTTTCTAAAATCCGCCGGATAAGCCGTTTCAATGTGTTTTATTTAAAGGTAATATTTATTGAAATATGTTGCACTTACAAGTAATTAGAGTCAATGTGGAAATATTGACATTTTTATATTTTACGCAACCACACAGGGCTTGTCTAACGAAGACAGACAGTACACAAGAAGACAATTGTCCTAACAAATTCACACATACATTGGCTGCATTCACACATACTTATGTAATACTACAAAATTAATTTTGCTTTAATGACATGGCTAAGGCGAATATTTTCATGACAAAACGCTTAGGGTTTCTTCAAGTAGTCTACTCTTTTTTGGTTTTATCTTCTTTGAAAGCTCACAGAAACGACTCCCTTTTATGAGAGCGTCATAAATTACTAAATATCACTTAAAATTATGTAAATAAAATTGTATAACCTAAATAATATTTTTAACGCGCCTCCAACTACGCATTCTGATTGGGTTGTATGACCACCCAACCGTCGTCGGCCAATGCTTCGGGCGGTTGTTGCTGTTGTTGTGCGCTCACACCAACGCTTGACGGCGTCGTTCTCGCATTTCCAGCGAGCAACTCCATTTGTTGTTGCGTGACGTTAGCCCCACTCGGCCGCACCGCCGGTCGTGCCTGTTCGGCAAGTAGGTTTTCACGTTGTTGCTTCAAATTGTTGTAGAGCTCCAACAGCTCTTGCTGTAGAAATGGAAACCAATTTTAAATCAGTGTTTATAAAGGGATAATGTGCGTGTTCACCTTTTCCTTAATTTTCCTCAACATCTCTTGCTTCTTCTGACGTTCTTCTGGATCCAAGCCTAAGATAATTTTGTCTTTGAAATCTTGCGCATAGTAGAGTCTCGTGTCCACACGCAAATATTCTTTGGCTAAACGTCGGTGCTCTCTGTAGATGGCTTGTGATTCTTCGTTATCGGGTATCGGCTGTTCGGGTTGTAGTTCGGGATCTAGCATTTCAGCAAGCGGCGGATCGTCGCTGTCATCGTTGTCATCCACATCATCATGTGTGGCCGCATTGAAGTCGCTCTCAGCCATGGAAGTACTTGTCATCATAGGCTTGGTTTCGGTGACGGTGAGTCCCTCTTTGCCATCGTTCTTTGCTATAAAATAAAAAACAATAAAAGTTAAACGCTTGCTTATTAATACTAAATATATATAACTAAACTGCTATATATGTATATTTTTAATTTGATTAAACTAGTCGTAGTTATTTATGGTGGAGTATTAACCCGACTATGGTAAAAAAAGCTCGTTTCGTTTCCACGAAGTGCAGTGCAAAATACCGGAAAGCCAAGACCAACAAGTTGTCAAATTGACAAAAATTTACCAAAAATATTTGAGGAATGTTTTATGCTGCCACAGCAACAACCACAAAACAGCGACTAAATGATATGAATCTTTTGAAAAATGGTCGAATGATAAAAATAATGAAATAAAATAAAAAAAATTTTAATCAAAAATTATTATAAGAGCCATTCTCAACAACAACCCATGCGCTTTTTTTTATTAAGCTTATAAACTGTGAAGATCTAATTTTATTTCTTCCGTCCTGTCTAAACTAAACAGTGAACTAATATAACCCTAAATGTAGGCAACGTTTTATATTTTATATGCTGAACAATAATAAAATCATATATAAAAATATAAAAGAATTTTCTTTGTAACTATAACTACAGTTTAATAGTTATTTCAAGCTTTTGCATATGTATATAATTATCACCAAAAAGTTCTGACCACAGCAAGGTCCGAACCGAAAATATTCACTTAATTCAAAAAGATAAAAAAAAGATTATATGGACACACTTAATGGTCGGACTTTCTGAATGCCCAAAAGATAGATTATCAGGAGTGTGAGTTTAGTGATCACTAGACATAACGTCTTCTGAATCTTTATACAGACAAAGCAAGAAAATGTAAGCAGTGATTTCGCAGAATCATGGCAGTAAAGGTTTTGTTACGAGAGGAGTAAACGAAAGTTACGATAAATCTGTCAGCTAACTAAGCACATATTTGAGGAAATAAACAAATTTTTCGCACAGTTAAGGAAATTTCATGCACGATTTTCGAGCAAAACAATTGCGAAGCTAATGCGAAACGTAACGAACTGCCAAACTTTCATAGCAAGGCCTTCCACTTCTTTTGTTCATGACGTCATAAATAAATATGGTGAGCCACAATTGTAGTGTCAATTTCTATCATTTTTAGATATATTTTATTTTAAAGTTGGGGTTCCAGGCGTAAATTTAGAACAGACGATAACATAGCTATATATTTCAACTTTTTACTATAATTAGCATAATACAGATTAATTTTAGCACGAAAAGATCTAGAAGTTTACTACATACACATTTTAGTAAATGAACTGGATGTAGACAGAATAATATATTTCATCTAAAATAATTTATTTACAATAAAAAGTACTTAGCTACGGAAATTGTAGTAAATTAAAAAAATACGAGTAAAGTTTAATTTTTGAATAAGATATCATTAAGATATTCCAAACTGTAAACTTTTAAGTGAGTTTGAGCTTCTTAACAAGACAGTTACAATCAATACTGGTTATCATATTAGTCATGTTCGATTCGCCACTTCTTTGCTTGCTATGTTTGAGCTCTGTTATCTTGTAGAAAACAACAAAGTTTAGTTTAATAGAGTTGTGGATAACTCAATAAAGAATGTTTTAAAAATTTTTGAATTAAAAATTAAAAATTAAAAATTTAATTTTTAATTCAAACATTTAGATTAAAAAATTAATTTCCAATTTAGGGAAATTTACGATTTAGGGATAAAAAATTTAAAATCTAATTTGGGATTAAAAATTAAAATTTTAATTTTTTAATTTAATAGTGAAAATACAATTTTTAATCCCAAAATCGGAATAAAAAAAAATAAAATTAAAATTTAAATAAATTTTAAGTTGTTCGACCACAGCACTAGAGTATTGAAGATGACGGCTCTGTGCGACTCTAGTACAAAATGCGAGAACACGAAGTACTCAAAAGCGAAAAAATTTTAATTCTAAAACAATTTCCTGTTTTAATGCTTAATTATATGCTTGGGATTAAATTCTTTTTATTTTTTTGATTCCACAATTTATTTTTCAATCCCGTATTGGGAATCCATTTTTTTTCATTTGGCATTTGGGATTAAAAATTTAAAAATTATTTCTAAAATTGATTTTCGGCATTACACATTAAAAAAAAAAGTGAATTCAAATGTTAATTAAATAAATTTTTTAATGCATTATTTCCAACAATGCCTATAACCTTATTATTAATTTAAAAAAAATTATTACTGTTAATACATACTATAGATAATCCAACAACTGTGAAGATCTGTTTGATTTGCTGTCGTCATTATTGTTGTAGCATCACACATTATTTGCTTTTGTTTTTGTGCACTATTTTGTTTGTTTTTTTGGTTTGCGTTGAGTTTTTACAAAATATGCCAGCAAATTACCAACATCTTTTCTGGCAATTTTTGTATTGATACTTTTTTAAATTTTAAATTAAAATTGTTTGTTTATTACTTTTGCTTGAGCTTTGGTGTGGGAGTTAAAAAAAAAAAACAATTTTTTAATCACATATTTGAAATAATAACTATTGAATGTTTCGGTGACTCAGTTCAATGCAGAGCTGCACTTTCGTAATGTCTTACTGCTGTAATGGTGCAACAATTTTATTGCGGAAGTGATTGTGGATTTCAAACACTAAACGAAAGATTTTACATGCATATTATGCAAATAGTTTTCGTAGTACGAATCCATGTCTAGAATTATCCAATGTTGAAACACAAAAGAAAAAATTTCTAAACAATAATTAAGGTTTAATATTTGTTAAAGCTTGAAAGGTGTTTTTCAAAGCTGCAGATTAGAAACTCTACCAAAACTAATATAGGAGATTATCTTGTATCTAAAATTGTAGCATCAATCAACATTGTGAATTCTACGACACTCTCAGAACTAGAATATAACCTACAAATATTATCTTAAGTTCGAAATGACAATAAAGGATCATTCAAGGCGTCATAGAGTAATAGGCACAGTGTCTATTAGAAGGCAATGCCCACTATCTACTCGTTAACCTTTAAAAAAACATTTGTGCGTATTTGCATTTAGATAGATTTAAGCTGTTGCCACATGTCTACAAACTAAACCATAACAGTTGCCAAAAAAGCTGGGAACACAAGAATGGACACAGATTTATATTCGAATAAGAACATAGTTCACCAAATCTATATTTTATGCCACTACAACAACAACACATGTTTGGAGATCACTTATTTTCCATCAGTAACAACAACAACAAATGTTTCGAGCAATACTTGGAGGGCCGTGAAAGCTGTTAAAATGCAATTGGAAATGGGCAAAAAGCAAATTTACGGCGTGTAAAAAATTTTACATTACAAAAACACCGAAACCGAACATAAGTAGATATTTTACAACAACATCATTTAAAAAAAAAATTTATTAATATATATTTTATTTTTAATTTCTTTAATCTTTAAATCGCTGCTGCTCCATAGCATGTATTTCACACTCAACACAACAAATCATTAAAAGCACACAACTCCACATTCACAAGTTTTTGTTTACATGCGTGTTGCGCAGCGCGATTAGGAAAAATCGATTGGACATCAATTATGTAAAGCATTTCTAGCACTGAATTTACACAAACAAACATACAGATTTCAAAATTTTTTAATGATTTTTCGATAATTCGAAATAAGTTTGAGTTTTACACTAAAAGCTCGAACTAAATAGTTATGAGAAATATTTCGATTTTCCAAGCGGCACAAATATTTAAACATATATAGTATGTATGTATGTATGTGCGTAGGTGCAGAAATGGGGCAATTATTTAATGGATACCGCGCGTACAATTCTAACGCCGACGAGAATTCTTCGTACAATGTACACAATCACGCTCGC